CCCCAAAACCCCAAAACCCCAAAACCCCAAAACCCCGTTAGACAATATAGCTGTAAGTAATAGAGACTAGATTCAAAAAGAATTTACTTTAGTTATGAATTTACAAAATATTAATTTTAAGTTTGTTTTAGAAGTTTTGTCAATCAATCATAGTAATTATAGTCTCATAATTTTTCAATAATTATTTAAAGTTAAACTTGAGTTCTCTTTGATTCCAATGGAGTTTAAGTAGGAACTTCTTTCACATTTTTAAATCTCACTATGGAAATTATTAAATATTCTGTTTTGAGGTTATAATTCTAATACCTACAGGCAAATTCTATTACGGTTAAAAGATCTATTTATACGTTCTTAACTATTAATGATCCTCCTACACTACATCGATGGGAAATTAAAACTAAAGATTCCTCTCGAAAACTTATTGATTTTCATTTTTAGAACTTTCTGAAATTTAGGGAATGTTTAAGTGCATACATTATTTTATACTTTATGCCTTTTCATCATATTTCTGATTTTAAGCCTTAGTTATTTGATCATTAAGTCTTAAGTTATCTGCTTAATTAATTTGATCAGAATCTTTGTTATCATTAAAGAAAGTGTTTAGGTTTTACTTATTAACCAATGGTAAGGATTGATTATTAGAAAGCCTTTTTCCTCTACTTTTCATTATAGTATTATGTCTACCAAGCATATGATCTCAAAGTTCTGTCACCCTAAAAAAAGATTTTCTACATTCTAGACATTTATGTAGTCTATAAAATAAATATTATTCCTAAAATAATAATACCTAATATTGTTATGTCGCCTTTCGTGATCTTTATAGTTACCAATTGAAGAAAATGTTTTATAGCAGATATGGCACTTATTAGTTATTTCTCCAGTGTGAATTCTTTCATGCACTTTTAGATTTCCGTTTTCTTCAAAGAATTTGCCGCATCCGGAGTACTTACAATGGTAAAATTTTTTTTCACCCAAATGGGCTGAGTTATAATGAAGAGTTAGTCTATTTTTTCTGGTAAATTCTTTCTGACAACCTGGATAGGTGCATTTAAATTTATTCTAATTAGACTTATTGATTGCTTTATCCAAGTTATTATTCATTTAGACTCAATATACTCTGATTAGTTAGATCTTATTTGATAATATTCTTATTTCCAATAAATTTTGCTTAATAAATTTAGAGTAATTATCAAATATTTTATCATTAATACTTATAGCGTACAAACTAATCCCATGGGGTTTTGGGGTTTTGGGGTTTTGGGGTTTTGGGG